CCCATTTGCCTCGATGGTTATCGAAAAGCAGTTTCATCAAAACCTGTCGTTGCTCCTCGTCTTCACACGCGATATGTAAGTGTTTACTCTTTGGTTAATTTATCCTTTTAATCAATTCTTTTCAGCATATATGTTTGATAAAAAAAATTTATTTAGTGTCTATTTAGATTCAAACTTAGAAGCGTTTTGAGAATTTTTCTATTAAAAAATATATTTTATTTTCAATAGAGAAATTCTCAAAAATATTTTACATTTGGATCTAAACAAGAGTTGAGATTAATTTATAATTTTTTTTCTGATTTTATATATATATATATATATATTGTTGCATTTTATTTATAGGACCGATGGCATAAGCTAGCATCAGGATACGATCCCTGTGCAGAGGATTACATACTAAAATATTTCAATAATAAGGATGTTCAGCAAGCACTCCATGCCAATATCACCAACTTGTCTTATCCATATTCCCTTTGCAGGTACGTATTAATTCTCACATATGATCATTAGTAAATAAACTAGTTGAGTATTATTATACTAATAACTTGTGATTTATTGACAAGTTAATTATTTTGTTTAATGAAATTAAGTGCCGTAATAGAGAAATGGAATGACTCGCCAAACACTGTTCTGCCAGTTATTAAGAAGCTCTTACGTGCAGGGTTACGTATTTGGATATACAGGTACGTAGGCCTTGAATTAATTATTGATTGTCGTGAATTAAGTTGATGTGTTTTGACATGCATGCATGGATGCAGTGGGGACACTGATGGAAGAGTTCCAGTGACATCAACAAGATACAGCATAAACAAGATGGGTTTGAAAGTGAAGAAAGAGTGGAGAGCATGGTTTCATAAGCTTCAAGTGGCAGGGTGGGTGGCGGAGTATGAGGGTGGCCTCACCTTTGCCACTATTAGAGGTGCTGGCCACCAAGTTCCTGTGTTCGCACCAGACCAAGCCCTTGCACTTGTCTCCCATTTCCTTTCTTCTGAAACACTTCCATCTTCGAGGTGACATGTACAATTAGGGAAGGTATGATAGGGGAGAAGTCTAATTTTCATCATCATCCACTTAATTTTCATCATCCTCTAATTAATTGTTTCTCTTATGTGATTTCATCCACTTAATTTTCATCATCCTCTAATTAATTGTTTCTCTTATGTGATTTCATCCACTTAATTTTCATCATCCTCTAATTAATTGTTTCGCTTATGTGATTTTGTAACGAAACTAATAAAGAAAAAAAATTGTCTCATATTCGAATGACTTACACTGGTCACCCATAATTTCGGTACCATATATTTAGGCTTGTAGCCTTGTCGTGTCCGACCATTATTCTAAAATATGGTGTCGAAACATCTCTGCTATATGTTTATTTATTTATTTGATCCATTCCTAACTTGGAATTATAAATTCAAAAGGTAAGTAATTTAAACCATGTTTAACTTTAATGGGGTATTGCTATATCAAATTCTTACATTATCACTATGGGGGTAAATATGAGAATGATGCGTATTAACATCTCGGATTATAAACTAGTTTAATAGCAAATATATTGGCTATAAATATGTGTGGGTATTTCGAATTAAAAAAAATTACGTTCAAATTAAATCAATAACAAAGATACATTTTTTTATATTTATTTCAAAGATAATTGCTTAAAAGGAAGTTTAACCATTTAACATTTTTTTTCAAAATAAATAGGGTAATTAGGATTAGGAGAGCAAAAAATCCAATAAAAGGCTACAAATGAGAGAAAATAGATATTTGCTTATAAGATGACAGATGTCTGGTTTATAGCTAATTAAAGAATCCTGGCCTGTGACGGAAACAAATTAATTTTTCGTATTTAACATATTTGAATCAGTGAAACTTTATCCAACACCTCCATCTTCTGCACATACAACGAATCCTAAAGCAAATATTTACATAAGATACATCAATCATAAATAAAACAGGACGTGAGCTTTGGTTCATTAAGAAAACATGGAAGAGTGAAATGTCTATATATTCGGAAAAAAGGAAAGACTAGAGTTTTATGTACATAGTTCTATTTCAACCATTTATTGAGTCAACCTTTATTTATGTATGTCCTTATATTTTTCTTAATGTTTTTAATTGAGTCCCTACAATTAAAAATATATATTTTTTAATGTTTTTAATTGAATTCCTATAATTAAAAATACTTTAAAAAGATCCTTATAATTTAAAAATATTGTAATAAGTCTTTCACACATTAATAATGAATTTTTTGAATTATATCTACTGGATATCGTGATATTACACTTACCTTTTAATATCATATTATTTTCACAAAAGCTTCTAATTAAATTCCTAATTTTAATATGTTAAATACACAAAAAATTATAATTAATTTCTTATTTAGATTTAAATTATACATCAATTTTAATCTCTTTGATAATTTTTAATTTACATTTATAAAAAAAACTAAGAAAAAGATTAAAAACATAACTTCTATCTGCATATTTGTTAAGTTCTAATATTTTTATTCGTGCAATACACACATATTAAAAGCTTATTATATATATATATAACAAATATTTTAAAAATTGTGTATCAATAAATGAAATCTTTGGTGACATAATTTATACGAGTGTTTTAGAATGTGTAATATGCTTAATATTTATTATATATAACTAAATTTTATAATATATATACAACTAAATAATATTTTTTTACATATAAATCATATTTAATATTTGCATATAAAAATATTTTTAAACATAAAAACTAAAATTTAAAGTTATGACAAATAATTTATATTATAGTCAAATAATATTTTTATTTATTAAAAAATTATTTTAAAAACATTAAAATTTAGTTTCTAAATACTTATAATAAATAAAAACTGAATTAGATAAAAAGTTTAAAAAAAAATCCTAAAGTCTCTCGTCAAATAAGAGCCCCTAACAAAATACTATGGTGCGAGATAAATATTTTTATTTAATATATAAGGATTGATTTTAAATATAAATTAATATATATTTTTAAAAATTTAGATTTATGATAAATAAAATATACCGTAGGAAAAATATTTTTATTTATTGATAATTTATTTTAAAAATAATAAAATTTAAATCATGAATAATTATGATAAATAAAAATTAAATTAAATACAAAATTAAAAAAACTCCTAAAATTCTTTCATCAAAGAAAAATTCCTAATTAAAATGCTCTTCGACGACATCATTATATATATAATTGATTTAATTCATAAATAATTATAATAAATAAAAATTGAATTAAAAAAGTTATAATAATCCTTAAAAACCTGTTGTCGTAGAAATAAAATCCTTTCACGAGCCCCTAAAAATATTTTTCGTAGTACACAATTGTTTGCATTCAATATATACGGCTTG